TTCGGCATTAAATAACCGATAGGGGTGTTGATATATAACTAAACATAATCAACAAATCAACCCTCATAAAAGAACTTTTTTGTGACGTGAATCCATATAATATCCTACAAATTCTTAAAGAAATCAAACTGTATTCCAAAATATGACTTCAGGAAAACTAAAATATGAAACACACATATCACTGCATCTCGTAATTATGAACACTCAAACATGTATATTTACCAAAGCTGAGAATTATCTACCATATATTCAATTGTGAAAGTAGAATAACATATATCATTTTAATTTTAATTCAAAGCTACCAAGAAAATTATAATTAAATTTCAGCATTAAATGAGCCATGAGGAAATGAGATGCTGTCAAAAAAATATATATATATATATATATATATATATATATATATATATATATATATATATATATATATATTGTATTAAGCGCTGTTTTTTTTTTTAAAGAAAAATACTAAATAACTTCATATTATTTACCTAACGTATTTCTTTCCTATTTTTCTATATACTTGCAAACACACACACACACGCACACACACATATATATATATATATATATATATATATATATATATATATATATATATATATATATATAAATGACTCGTGGCCTGACGATTGTATCTAGCATGAAACAAACTCACGCCTCTAAGTGTTGATTTGTATGTTCACTTTTATATTTACACACGCTCTATCTCTGATATTGAGCACTTTATCCCATAAATATAGCAACCTTTAAAGACTATATTTCATATATATATATATATATATATATATATATATATATATATATAATATCTCACATTGAGGGTAGATGTTTGATGTTAATGTATTAGTAAAATAAGAAAGCTATAAATTAAAAATTAATTATAAATATATATTCTTTTCTCACCTGAGGTGATTTGATTTTTTTTTATTATTAAATATATTGCTCTGTCGTGATAAATATATTCATCTCTTTTTGTGAATAAGTTTTAATATTTTATATTACAAGGATCCGCTTGGATTATATACCAACGGATTGATTACCCATATATATATATATATATATATATATATATATATTTTAAAAATTATAACATATATATGTTATAAAATCACTACAATAGAGACATTTTGTTTCAACATTTCCGGTGTCTTATCAAGTGATGATGTTGAATGTAAAATCAATGGTTTTAAAAGTTTCAAATTAATTAACGATCCTTATATATATATATATATATATATATATATATACCCTTGGGAATGTTAAGAATTGGAATTCTTCTACGCACAGCTATGTGTGTCAACCGGACTGAGAGAAGGACAACGCAACTTTGAATTTAAAACTTATGGATCTTATGTGACAAAATGTACACCAGTTCTTTGTATTCGACTTTTCCAAAAGTGCGTTTGGTTCAACACAATCCTTCACCATTCTAATCAAATTAGATGAGAAGATAGTATTGTCTGTTTGGTTCTAAGGAATTAGTTACTCTAGAACCAAACGTAGAAAAACGAGGGGAGACCTCAGTTATATATATATATATATATATATATATATATATATATATATATATATATATATATATGACCGAATGGGTAAATATAGGTAGGTATACAAAGCGAGTGATCGTATGCAAATACATACCCATGGTGTAAGAATAAAACAATGCTCAATGTTAAGCAAAACAGCTATTTAATATACATATATATATATATATATATATATATATATATATATATATGTTAAATGATATACGTAATATCTTACATTAACTGCACAACTCAGTGTTTCATAAAATTGCTTCGGCATGAAAACTCGGAGTTGTGCAACTTAGATGATACGTATATTTATATATATATATATATATATATATATATATATATATATATATATATTCAGTTGTATTAATATGAGTTTGTAAAACTGGGTTTCCCCTTTTGAGATATCCAGACTAAACTTGTCTGATGATCGCAAAAGCGTGAAATCCAGGGTCACACACTCATAAGTAACACACACACACACGCACGCACACACACACACACACACACACACACATATATATATAAACACACACACGCCCAATATATATATATATATATATATATATCTTTGTACGTTCATTTTCACAAGGAAGATTATAATATTCCAATATCGATAATGAACTTATTTTTGGTAATGTGAGAAGAAAACGGAGGGAGTGAAACGGATGTAAGCCGACGGAGTGAGAAAGCGATAGGGGGTGGGAGAGAGTTTGTGCGTTTGAAATAGTATCTATGTATGTATGTATCTATGTATGTATCTATTGCGTCAAAAGGTTAAATCATCCGAGTAAGGAAGGTAAAAAAATAAAAAATAGTGCGTCTAAAGAAAAAAAACACATAAAAGAAAAAAAAAAGATCCAACCAAAGAGTTCTCCGAGCAGGAATCATTTCAGCAACGGATCATTGAAGACAATGGTACTGCTGCATAAACAGGTAAGGTGGAAGGATTTTCGGTGTCTTTTTACGTATTCATTCGCATATACATACATATATATATATATATATATATATATATATATATATATATATATATATATATATATATATATATGTGTGTGTGTGTGTGTGTGTGTGTGTGTGTGTGTGTATATATATATATTGCTGTAAATGTGATATGTAGTTTGTACACAGTTCACGCTTATTGTGCTAATAATGTCGGGTTAAACAGTCACTTACTTTTAAATAAATATATATAAATATATATATATATATATAGATAGATAGATAGATAGATAGATAGATAGATAGATAAAATATATGTGTATCTGTATATATATATGTATGTATGCATATATATAGGGAGATAGATAGATAGATAGATAGATAAATGGATATAGATTGATAGATATATAAAGATATATATATATAGGTTTGTTTCTTTTAACATTGGTCATTTTCCTAGTTTTCTTACGATGAGCTGTAATCTTTTAAACTATCACTTCGTATAAAAAGATCATTTACCCCTTATATATATATATATATATATATATATATATATATATATATATATATATATATATATATATATATATATATATATATATATATATATATATATATATATATATATACCTGACCACAAAATCAGTGAAAATTGACAGCATTATTTACGAATATATTTCTATATTTACACTTCTGCTTAGATTCATTACTCTACGTCAAAATATATAAGTACATATATATATATATATATATATATATATATATATATATATATATATATATATATGTGTGTGTGTGTGTGTGTGTGTGTGTGTGTGTGTGAGATGGAGTGAAAGAGTGTGTGTGTGTGTGTAGATATATATATATATATATATATATGTATTTATATATAGTAGGAAGAAAATATGTTTACGAGAGTGTTTTGTGCCTTTGAAAATGTATATATATATATATATATATATATATATATATATATATATATATATATATATATATATATATATAAATCCTTTGCAGTAATAAGAAATATGTAAGTTAGGATGTGTATGTATAAAAAAGTGAGTCTATATATCCATTTTAGTAATACGAAATATATATATGTCCGTGTTTGTCAGTGTGTATATATATATATATATATATATATATATATATATATATATATATATATATATATATATAGTTTATGGTAATAAGAATTATGTGTTTAAGCGATATATATATACATATACATAAGCATATAACGTTTATTGTAAAAAGAAGTATACATATTTGTCAGTGTTTATGTGTAGACACTTGCAATACAAAAAAAAAAAAAAAAAAAAAAAACTAAAAAATTGGTGTGTAAAAATTAATACTCTCACATGCAATCAGAAGAATACATCTCCAAAAATAAAAAAGAAGCCGAGGTTGTTGTTGTTGTTTTTGTTAGGGTCGGGGTGCTGAAATTTTTTTTTTTTTTGTATCATTTCATTTTATCTTTTCTTTTTTTTTCTTTTTTTTTTTCTTTTCAATTTTATGACATAGGAAAGATTTGATCTCGCTTACCTGAAGACAACAGACCCAGCCAAAAAGGTTTGTACTTCCAAGCGTCGCCCGCGTTAGATAAATAAATACATGAATAAATAAGGATTCTCTTTTTATTATTATTATTATTGTTGTTGTTGTCGCTGTTGACTAGCTCCTCGAAATATAAGTAAAATCCGTATATCTGTAAGTGTTTCTTTGCGCGCTGAAGCTCATGTGTATGTAATCACTCTCGCAATTTTCAGTAAAGCGTCGTTTGCGAGGATCCTGACAGAAAAGCGATAGAAACAAAGAGAAAGAAGAAGAAAGAGAGAGGGAAAGAGTAAGCTATAGATAGATAGACAGTTGGATAGAGAGAGAGAGATAGAGAGAGAGCGAGTGAGAGAGAGAGAGAAGCAAGACAAAACGCTGTTCCAATGACTATTAGTGAATTGACTGTGCCGAACAGCCGAGGAGGTAGGGACGGTAGGGTCGCAGATGCGTGGTGTGCACCTATCTATGTGCTTGTGTGTGTATATGCATATAGTCAGCGTGTGAATGGAGAGAAGCAAGGTGCGCTGAAGTAGAGGCTCCCGTGCGTTATGGGGGCGGGAAGATGTGCGTAAGTAGTGTGTGTGTGTGTGTGTGTGTGTGTGTGTGTGTGTTGTGTGTGTGTGTGTGTGTGTGTGTTTTGCAGTGCGCGGATCAGTTGTGTTCAATTGGAACGGCATTTTCATTCGCGCATGTTGGCTTCAAGAAAATGCGCGATCATAACGTTGCTTCGGAACGTGCGTGTGTATGTGTGTGTGTGTGTGTGTGTGTGTGTGTGTGTGTGAAGTAAGAGCCATGTCAGTATCTCTCTCACTCTATCTGGCTAGCTCTTTTCAATCTATCTATCTATCTATCTCATTCTGTTAATATCTAACTTTATATGTCTGTCTGTCTATCTATCTATGTCACTCTGTTAATATATACCTCATTCTGTTCCTATCTATCTATCTATCTATCTATCTCACTATGGTAATATCTATCTATCGTATTCTGTATTCATATCTATCTATCTATCGATTGCATTCTGTGTTCATATTTATCTATTTTAATCTGAATTCATATCTATCTATCTATCTATCTATCTATCTCATTCAATTAATATTTAACTCTCTCTTTCAATCTATCTATCGCTGTGTTGTGAACGTTTGTGTCTGTTTTTTTATCATAACACATTCAAATTGTTAATTTTGATCTATCTATCTATCTATCTATCTATCTATCTATCTATCTATCTATTTGTGTGTGTACCTCGGCGAATTCAGAGACATATTCATATATGACATTCAATTCATCGTACATCTATATGTGTATCTTGGGTTTTTTATCATAAATTCAAATTGTTAATTTTGTGACAGTTTGTAAAGTCGCTC